TAGAAATCAAATTAAAACACTAGAAAAATATAAAGATTCAGCAAACACAAAATCAACACCAATGAAAGAGATGAAAAGAAAATACACAAAAAAAGTGACTCAGCACAGAAAATTAAGCAGAACAAAAGAAAATGTGAACAAAACACAAAAAAAGACATCAAAACGACGGCAGTAAACTCATACCTATCAATAATTACGCTGAACGGACTAAATGCACCAATAAAAAGACAAATGGTAGCAGACTGGATTAAAAAAACACGATCCGTCTATATGCTTGCTGACTACAAGAGACACGCTTTAGACTTAAAGACACAAACTAAAACTAAAAGAATGGCAAAAAAGGTATCAAGCAAACAACACTCAAAAAAGAGCAGAAGTGGCAATATTAATCCCTGACAAACTAGACTTCAAGTAAAACACACCACAAAGGATAAGGAAGGACCCTATATAATGATTAAAGGGTCAATACACCAGGAGAACATAACTACAATAAATATTTACGCACCCAATCACAGGACTCCAAAATACATAAAACAAACTCTCACAGCACTGAAAAGACAGACAACTCCACAACAGTAGTAGGAGACTTCAACACACCATTTTTGGTGAAGGACAAAACATCCAGAAAGAAGCTCAACATAGACATGGAAGAGCCTAATGCTACAATCAACCAACTTGATGTCACAGACATATACCGAACACTACACCCAACAGCAGCCAAGTAAACCTTCCTTTCCAGTGCACACAGAACGTTCTCCAGCAGAGACCACATATTAGGCCATAAAGCAAGCCTTAACAAAATCCAAAGCACTGAAATATTACCAAGCATCTTTTCTGACCATAAAGTCATAAAAGTATAAATCAACAACAAAAAAAGCAAGGAAAAAAAATCAAACACATGGAAACTGAACAACACCTTGTTCAAAAACTATTGGGTTATAGAAGAAATTAAGGATGGAATAAAGAAGTTCACAGAACCAAACGAAAATGAAAACATATCCTAGCACAACCTCTGGGACACAGCAAAAGCACTGCTCAGAGGTCAGTTTAGAGCAATAAATGCACACATCCAAAAAGAAGAGCCATAATCAAAACATCAACCCTTCAACTGCAAAAGGTAGAAAGACAGCAGCAATAGAAGCCCTCAGATGCCAGAAAAAAGGAAATAATAAGAATTAGTAATAAGAATTAGGGCAGAATTAAATGAAATAGAGAATAGAAAAACAGTTGAAAGAATTAACAAGACCAAAAGCTAGTTCTTTGAAAAGATCAACAAAATTGATAAACCATTGGCCAAACTGACAAGAGGAAAACAGGAGAGAAAACAGATAACCCGTACAAGAAATAGGATGGGTGACATCACAACAGACTCAACTGAAATTAAAAGAATCATAACAGAATACTACGAAAAACTGTACTCTGACAAATTTGAAAACCTAGACAAAATGGACAAATTTCTAGAAACTCACTACCTACCTAAATTAACACAAACCAAGGTAGAACAACTAAATAAACCTGTAACAAAACAAGGGATTGAAAAGGCAATTAAAAAACTCCAATCAAAAAAAAACCTCTGGCTTGGATGGCTTCACTGGAGAATTCTATCAAACATTCAGTGAAGCGTTAACACCACTACTACAAAAAGTATTTTAGAGCATAGAAAAGGATGGAATACTCCGAAACTCACTCATGAAGCCAGTATAACCCTGATACGAAAACCAGGTAAAGACACCACAAAAAAAGAAAATTACAGACCTATATCCCTCATGAACATTGATACAAAAATCCTTAACAAAATTCTAGCCAATAGAATTCAGAAACGTATCAAAAAAAAACTCACCATGATCAAGTGGGATTTACACCAGGTATGCAGGGATGGTTCAACATAAGGAAAACAATCAGTGTAATCCATCACATGAATAAAACAAAAGACAAGAACCACATGATCTTATTAATGCATACTGAAAAAGCATTTGACAAAGTCCAGCACCCGTTCATGATAAAAACTTTCAACAAAATAGAAACAGAAGGGAAATTCCTCAATATAATTAAGGGCATTTATACAAAGCCAACAGCCAACATCAATCTAAATGGAGACATTGACAGCATTTCCCTTGAGAATGGGAACAAGACAAGGGTGTCCTTTATCATCACTCTTATTCAACACTGTGCTGGAGTTCCTAGACAGAGCCATTAGGCTAGGAAAAAAAAAGGGGCATCCAAATAAGCAGAGAAGAAGTCAAAAAGCATCTCTATTTGCAGATGATATGATCTTATACACAGAAAACCCCAAAGAATCTACATGAAAACTACTGGAACTAATAGAAGATTTCAGCAAAGTTTCAGAATACAACATAAACATACAAAAATCAGTTGGATTCCTTTACATCAACAAAAACAAACTCGAAAAGGAAATCACCAAATCAATACCATTTACAATAGCCCCCAAAAAGATAAAATACTTAGGAATACAACTCACCAGAAATGTAAAAGATCTATACAGTGAAAACTACAAGACACTACTGTGAGAAACCAAAAGAGACCTGTGTAAGTGGAAAAACATACCTTACTCATGGATAGGTAGACAAACATAATGAAAATGTCAATTCTACCCAAAACAATCTACAGATACAATGCAATCCCGATCCAAATTCCACCAGCATTTTTTAATGAGATGGAGAAACCAATCACCAACTTCATATGGAAAGGGAAGGGGCCCCGAATAAGTAAAGCATAACTCAAGAAGAAAAACAAGGTGGGAGGCCTCACACTACCTGATTTTAGAACCTATTATACTGCCACAGTAGTCAAAACAACCTGGTACTGGTACAAAAACAGATACATAGACCAATGGAAGAGAATTAAGAATGCAGACCTAAATTCATCCACCTATGAGCAGCCGATATTTGACAAAGGCCCAAAGTCCATTTACTGGGGAAAAGAGTGTCTCTTTAACAAATGGTGCTAGCATAACTGGATATCCACCTGCAAAAAACTGAAACAAGACCCCATACCTCACACCATGCACAAAAACTAACTCAAAATGGATCAAAGACTTAAATATAAAATCGAAAACGATAAAGATCATGAAAGAAAAAATAGGGACAACACTAGAAGTCCTAATACATGGCATACGCACAATACGAACCATAAGTAACAATACACAAGCACAAGAAGAGAGACCAGAAAAATGGGAGCTCCAAAAAATCAAACACTTATGCTCATCAAAACACTTCATCAAAAGAGTAAAAACACAACCTGAAGACTGGGAAAAACTCGTTGGCTACAACAAATCCACTCAGCGTCTAATCTCTAAAATCTACAAGATACTGCAAAACCTCAACCACAAAAAGACAACTCAATTAAAAAATGGGCAAAGGATATGAACAGGCACTTCGCCAAAGAAGACATTCAGATGGTTAGTAGACACATGAGGAAACGCTCACTATCATCAGCCATTAGAGAAATGCAAATCAAACTACAGTGAGATACCATCTCACCTCAAGAAGGCTAACATGAATGCAAAAAACACAAATGAGTAAATGTTAGGGAAGTTGTGGAGAAACTGGAACCCTTATATACTATTGGTGGGAATGTAAAATGGTACAACAACTTTGGAAAGCGATTTGACACTTCCTCAAAAAGCTAGAAATAGAAGTACCACACGATCCAGCTATCCCACTCCTTGGAACATATCCTAGAGAAATAAGAGCCGTCACACAAACAGATACATGCACACCCATATTCATTGCAGCACTGTTCACAACAGTAAAAAAATGGAAACAACCTAGGTGCCCATCAATGGAAGAAAGGATAAACAAATTATGGTATAGCCACACAATGGAATACTACGCAACAATAAAGAACAACGATGCAGCCATGAAACATCTTATAACATGGAAAAAGCTAGAGATCATTATGCTGAGTGAATTTAGTCAATCACAGAAGGACAAATATTGTATAAGATCACTGTTATAAGAACTCAAGAAAAGGTTTTAACACAGAAAAAAATTCTTTGATGGTTACAAGGGTGGGGAGGGTGGGTGAGGGTTATTTACTAACTAGATAGTAGATAAGAATTATCTTAGGTGAAGGGAAGTTTCCTGAATACAATCAAACACTTTGAAGGACAGAGTATCAGGGGTAGGGCTCTGGGGACCATGCTTTTAGGGGACATCTAGGTCAACTGGTATAACAAAGCTTATTAAGAAAATGTTCTGCATCCTAGTTTGCTGAGTGGCGTCTGGGGTCTTAAAAGCCAGCAAGCAGCCATGTAAGATGCATCAATCGGTCCCAACCACCTGAAGTAAAGGAGAATGAAGAACACCAAAGACACAAGGAAAGTAGTAGCCCAAGAGACAGAAAGGGCTACATAAACCAGAGACTTCATCAGTCTGAGACCACAAGAACTAGATGGTGCCCGGCTACCACCAATGACCGCCCTGACGGGGAACACAACAGAGAGTCTCGGATGAGGCAAGAGAAAGGTGGGGTGCAGAACTCAAATTTCAGTAAAAAGACCAGACTTAACAGTCTGACTGAGACTGGAGGAACCCCGCAAAGCATGGCCCCAGGATTCTCTATCAGCCCAAAACTAAAACAATTTCCGAGGCCAACTCTTCAGGCAGAGATTGGACTGGACTGTGGGACATAAAGTGATACTCATGAGGAGTGTGCCTCTTAGCTCAAGTAGATACAAAAGACTAAACAGGCACCTTCTCTCAGGAGTGAGATGGGAAAGCAGAGAGGGTTAGGAGCTGGGTGAATGGACATGGGGAATCAGGAGTGGAAAGGAGGAATGTGTTGTCACAGTATGGGGAGAGCAAGTAGAGTCACATAAAAATGCATGTATGAATTTATGTACGGGGAAAAAAATATCTAAGTATCTTTATTAACATAAATAGAAAAACTGTATAAAAAAAAAGAGACAAATGGATCCGAATTCAGGGCAATCGTGAATATAATTTTGGATGGCTAAATAAATATAAATATAACCTTACCTTGTCCTATGACTATGACGGCTATTCCTTTTTCTAGTTCTTCAATACCTTTCTTATACCATTCCACAGCTTGCTCCTTCTGTCCTGTTTTGAAATAGAAATAATTATTTGTATATACCACGAGCATAAACATTTCCCGAAGAGTGCCATTAATAAGTGATACATAAAAAAGAGAATTGTGACCAAATAAATTTGAAAAACAATACAGTATTACCTCTTATTGCCTTTACCATCTCAATATACACTGTGAATCCCCAAAAGGGGAAATATAGTCTGCAGTGGTTTCCCAAATTTTAGGACTATGTCTATTATTTGCTTATCAATTCATGGTATTGATATTTATAACCACTGAAATATTTCAGCTGTACCAGGAATATTAACATGATTTCAATAATGGTGAGAAAAAGCACCATTTAATCTAATTATATTCAAATCTACTGTAATAATGTTCCTTGTTGGGCACCTCCTTTTTAGAGTAAGCTTTTAACAAACAATTGCATCGTGACAACTGGTACGTGAGATTCTAACTGTGGTATTTAGTAATACAGTTTCTTTGAACCAAACAACTGGTTTACAATACTAATTCTTGATTCAAGTTAAGTTCAAAGAGGATATAAAAATTAATCATAATCCATAAGGCACAGCAGTCCAGGGACAAAGATTAGAAGGCAGGAGGGGACAGGAAAGCTGGTGATAGGGAACCCAAGATTTAGAAGGGACAGTGTTGACATGTCGTGGGGTTGTTAGCCATTGTCATAGGGCAGTATGTGCACTGTTTAATGAGAAACTATTTGTTCCGTAAACCATCTAAAGTACAAAAAAAAAATTATCTATGTGAGATCAAGGTGACAACAGCAACTCAAAACGTTTGATGGGAAGCCTAGGGGGCAGTGATTTGAAGATAATGGTGATGGAATAATTTGGAAAAGAATAGTGAGAATAGCAACACAACTGGAAGAATGTAATCAATGTCACTGAATTGTACATGCAGAAACTTTTGAAATGGTGTAATTTTGGCTATGTATATTTTCACCAAAAAAATGATCCTCCAAGGTCCAGAAGGGAGCGTGTTGACATGTCGTGGGGTTGTTAACCAATGTCATAAAACAATACGTGTGCTGTTTAATGAGAAACTGTTTGTTCTGTAAACCGTCATTTAAAATACAATAAAAAAAATCATGATCAAAATAACTATAAGTAGGATGTACTTCTGTACAGGGATAATTATACGCAAATCTCACCGCTTTTGAAAATTAATTTCTTGGTCCTTACCATCTACAATGCTTCAGAAGCAACTAATATAAAAATACAGTAAAACAAAGGTAGAAATCATCTATTAGAATGTTGTTTTTCATTACTTCCCAATTCATGTCCCCATTTAATCAAACAAAATTTCCCATGTCATTCTTTCAAATTCAAATCAATAAAATATGAAACTCTTTAATAACTGTGGTAGTTAAAGTTGTGTGTCAACTTGGCTAGGGCATAATTATCAGTGGCCTGGTAGTTGTAACGAAGTTTGGCAGCTGTGGAAGAATGTAATCACTTCCATAGTAAGATCTGATGTAATCACCTCTATGATGAGATATTTTGTGAGCAGCTGATTAGTTGAAAAGGAGTTTCCTTGGGGGTGGATTTTCCAATATAGGTGGATTTTCTGACAAAGCTCGCTGGCTTTTCCTCGCTTTAATCCTGCAGCTGGCTCCTATACATCTAACCTCCTGTTCTTGGAACTTGAGCTAGCAGCTTATCTGCCAATCTTGGGATTTGTCAGCCTCCACAGTCTGTGAGCCAGAGGCCTGCTGTCTGATCTGCCGATCTTGGGTTCACCAGCCCTTGCAGATATGTGAGTCAGAAGAAACCTTCAGCCTGACCCACGGACTTTTTCCAGCCTCTACATCCGTGTAAGCCACTTCCTTAATATAAATCTCTCTATATATAATTTATGTCCTTTACTAATTTTATTTCTCTAGAGAATCCAGCCTAAGACATTACTACGGAGTAGAAAAGATCTTGTTATAGTTACAACACACAATAACTAAGAAATGCTGTCTACCACTCTTGACAGGGACCACAACGTAGGGTCTGGGACCGAGTGGGAAAAAAATGTAGAACAATGTTCAAATTCATAAAACAAGACCAGACTTACTAGTCTGACAGAGACGGGACAAACCCCCAAGACTATAGCCCCCAGACACCCTGCTAACTCAGAACGGAAGCCACTCCTGAAGCCCATTTTTCAGCCAAAGACTGAAAAAGGCCTATAAAACAAACGGCAACACGCGTGAGGAACATGCTTCATACTTCAATCAGGTACATGAGACCAACTAGGCAACTCCTGCCCAAAGACAGACAAGAAAACAGGAAGGAACAGGAAAATTGGACACATGGACATGGGGAAACTGGAGTGGAAAGGGGGAGTGTGCTGACACACCGCGGGGATTGCAAACAGTGTCACAAAACAATCTGTGAATAAATTTTTGAATGAGAAACTAATTTGCACTGCTTTCACTGAAAAAAATTAAAAAAAAAAAAAAAGAGAAGAAATGCTGTGTCTCCTTATGTGAGTATACTACCCCTTCCTCCATTTCCTCATTGCAAAAATAATCACTGAACTAGATTCAGGCTATCCGTATTTTACAAAGTGGCTGATACAGAAAAACTGCTCAAGAAGTCTTGGTAATGACACATGAAGAAATCATTAAGAGTTTATTGTAAACTGGTTCAAATTATTTGGATGTAAATTTGTTTACATATTTTTTCAAATTATTAAAAAAAAGGGAAGACAGAACTGATGATGAAGGGCACAAGGAAATTTGCGGACTGTTGGGAACCTTCAATATATTGACCACAGTGCTGGCTACCCAACTGTGTAAGTTTGTCAAAACTCATAGAAATGTACCCTGAAGAGATGAATTTTACTGTATGTAAATTATACCTCAATAAGTGCAATACTCCAGCATTTATGTATGAGGATATTTGTTGTGGCTTGGATTATAATACCAGAACTAAAACTCTGATTACAATAACAAAATTATATTACACGAGAAAAACTAGAAAATTTATTTTTAAAAAATGTTTGAAGGGAGTGGAGAGCTTCTAAAACAGTGAAAATTGTTAAGACCAATATCTAGAAGAGGAGGAAAGTTGAAAGAGGTAAGCACTTGGGTCACTTTTCCGGTTAATGTGATTGCTAATTCTGAAGGCAAAACTGAGTGAGAAACTGAGCAGTTTTCAGCCACTCATGAAAGTAAGTTGATTAAAAATGAATTTCAGGGTAGGCCAAGAAGAAAAGTCATGGCAAACACCTCAGGATTTTGGTTGGAACACTGAAGGGCTGTCTCTGAAGTAAAAAACAGGTTAGCCCACGCAAGTACTAAAGTCCAAATTCAAGTCTTCCATCCCTCAAAGTAGGGATCACCCTTTTAATTAATTTACAGTAGAAAATCAAAACTTCCAGTGGCCTAGAGTGTACAAAAGGATGTTGATATACTTTAGTATATACTTCCCTGATACCGTGAAAAAATGACAAGATATCTATCCAAGATGCTCATCGAACCCCACATAAGGTAGATCCCAAAAGAAAATCATCAAAACATATTATAATCAAACTTGCCAAACACAGAGAATTTTAAGAGCGGCTAGAGATAAACGAAAAGTCATCTATAAAGAAGAGTCAATAAGAATAAGCTGAGGACACTCAGCAGAAACCATGCAGGGAAGAAGGCAATGGAATGACATATATAAAGCCTTGGGGAAAAAAAACTGCCAGCCAAGAATTACATATCCAGCAAAACTGTCTCTCAAATATGATGGCGAAATTAGGGCATTTCCAAATAAACAGAAGTTGAGGGAATCTGCAAAAACCAAACTAAAATTACAAAAAATACTGAAGGGAATCCTCCAGTTAGAAAATCAGTAACATCAGATAACAATCCAAGACTAGAACACAGGACAGAGCAACCAAATATCAACCCACATAAGAAAGTCACAAAACTAAATCAAAGCTGAAACACTGAAAATAGGGAAACAGATATCAATATAAAAGCTGACAACATTAAAACAACAAAGAGGGACTTACAAAACATAGACATAAATTTTTCATATGGAGAGGAAATCGAGGCGATATAAAGAAATAAAAGACTCGTATAAACTTCGAAAAATAGAGGTAAATATTAAGGTAACCACAACAGATACTAAAATCTTAGAAGCCAAAATAAAACACTAGAAAAATATAAAGACTCAGCAAACACAAAATCAACACCAATGAAAAAGATGAAAAAAAATACATAAAGAAAAACGACTCAGCATAGAAAATTAAGAGAAACAAAGAAACTGTGAACACACAAAAAAAGAAATCAAAATGACAGCATTAAACTCTTACCTATCAATAATTACACTGAATGTAAATGGACTAAATGCACCAATAAAGAGAGAGTGGGAGATTGAATAAAAAAACACGATCCGTTTATATGCTGCCTACAAGAAACACACCTTAAAGACACAAACTAAAACTCAAAGAATGGAAAAAATATATCAGGCAAACAACACTCAAAAAAGAGCAGGAGTGGCAATATTAATATCTGACAAAATAGACTTCAAAATAAAACCCACCACAAAGAATAAGAAAGGACACTATATAATGATTAAAGGGTCAATACACCAGGAGAACATAACTATAATAAATATTTATGCACCCAATCACAGGGCTCCAAAATGCATAAAACAAACTCTAACAGCACTGAAAAGAGAGACAGACAGCTCCACAATAGTAGTAGGAGACCTCAACACACCATTTTTGGTGAACGACAAAACATCCAGAAAGAAGCTCAACATAGACACGGACGAGCTAAATGCTACAATCAACCAACTTGATCTCACAGATATATACCGAACATTGCAGCCTACAGCAGCCAAATATATTCTCCTTTCCAACACATGCTGAACATTCTCCAGAACAGACCACATATTAAAACATAAAGCAAGCCTTAACAAAATCCAAAGCATCAAAATATTACAAATCATCTTTTCTGACCATAAAACCATAAAAATAGAAATCAACAACACAAAAAGCAAAAAAAAAA